AACAGAGCAGTGCCAGCACAATGATATACATGCTTAAAGATATTTTTTGTTTGACGAGTGATGATGACAACAAATCAAAACTAACAAGAGAGGGTGTGAGTGTCGCTGCTTTACAGGAAAAATTGAGAACAGTAGAAAGTTTGCCTAAGTTAGCTGCCGTTACGCAATTGCTATTTTTTGCGAAGCCAAACTTCTTTCAAAAGTATGAACAACTCTTTTTCGTTATGTTTTTCGAAAGAAAAATGTGCCGCAATAGTGCTTAGCAATTTCGGCGCTGCCGGCGGTCATGCTAGTGGCGTGTGTTCGAATCGCTCACGCGGCTACAATTTTGTGAAGCGAAAAATTTTAACATTTATGCACAATTTTCTACAGTGTGGGTATCTGTAGCTGTGGGATTTGGGGTGGATGTGAATGTGAGCGTGGGTGGATCTGAGCAGAAAAGGCGACTTGAACACCCACACCCACCCACGCTCTCTTTTCCTAGTGTTACCAATGTTGCAACTTAACATCAAATTTGACTCAGAAATGGAGAAATAATTGCGTTTTTTCCTTTGATTCCTTTCAAAAAGCGCAAGAAGGGGTGGGGTGGGGTGTGGGTGTGGGTGTGGGTGTGGGTGTAAGTGTTCTTTTCCAGCACATTCACACCCACACCCTCAATTATTTCAAGGTGTTGACGGCATTGATTAACGACCAAATGACATTGACGAAGGTTAGGAAAGAGTGAAAGAAGGAAATCAAATTGTCCATTGTGAAATAAAAAACTGTGGAGACGACTGAGTCGAAGATATTTGATAGATAAAAAGAGATGAGTTGTGAAAAAAAATGGAGGAATTGCATCAGTACATGAGAAATCAAAATAGATCAAGGAAGGACAAATTAATAATATCTTCTCGAATTCACTTCCATTTTGTTGTCGTATAGTCAGTTGACGAAGACTTTTCAGTTGAGCAGTATTCGATAGCGAAAGAACGACTGGATTACACTTGCCAAGATGACAAATTTCTAAGCGAGGAAATTCACCACTAATTATCAATTGAACTAACTTAGGCGAGCTAGCTGATAAAACTAGTGATCGTAATTGAGAACAAATATCAGGACGAATCGTGCTATCTATTCCATTAAACAGATGAGGGTACCAGCTAAAATCAATTGATGGATAAGTTTGTAAAAAACGATGGCCACCTCTTATGACATTAGGTTCGAGAAGAGAACGTATTCCTGTATGGTGAATTTGTACATGGATTGCCTTGAATGAATGGCAGAACGAAATGACCGGATCCAAATCATTTTTTGTCACAAAAATCAAGTTGGGTAACGATTTGAGAATTGAATTGACACGATTGTTTAATTGGGAAAATGTCAAATAGATTTCAGCAGCTGTGAAATAATCCAAGATTTCTGTTAAAATTTCGACAGGTAGATCTTCTCATCGAGTTATTATTGAGTGATACATCACTAATCGGCTTTTTATATTATTAGAAGAAATCAACAGTGCTTGTTCTTTTTATAGCTTCTCAACAAAGATACATGCCTGTGTATCTTTGTCTCCTACAAAATCGTCAATACGATAAAAGCGTTGATTGTAAATTAAAGAAAAGAAAAATGTTGGCAATATATTGACATAAATAGTTTTTCTAAAGTGACGCTATAACATCCGATGCAACATTCTTGGCAAAAATGTCGAACCCTGTTTAATCATATTGCCGACTTCTAAACCAATTAAATTTATTTTTGATAGAAGGAGTAATGTCTGTACTACAAATTTTGCACCATTCATATTTCTCAAGACTGAATCTGAGAAGAAAGAAAAGCCAAAAACCAAACACTTCTAAAAAAAGTTCTTGCATCGCTTTTGCAACTTGAAAGTTTTGCATTTCTAAATTATTCTGAGCTACACAAGTCACAGTTGAACAAAAAAATACACCAAACTGTAGCATATCAAAAACTCTATCGAAATCTGCTTATAGAATTTTTTCGAATCCATTCTTAACTCTTTAATCAAAAAGGTTTAAGACACGAATTTGTTATTTAGTCGAAATATAAGTAATCATAGAATTTTAGCGGAAAAAATTATTCAAAAAGTATTTGTATTCTCGTAAAACAATGAAGTAGTGAGAATGACCGAATTTCTCAGTTTCTTTCAGAAAAAAACTATTCATTGTTATTAGAACTAAGGATCAATTCAACATTCAATACAACATTACGAAGAGCACTATTTGTGCTAAGAAAATCATCATTGAATTTGCTTTCTCATTTCTCTTCTGATATACAAAAGTCTAACAAGAAATAGAAAATAATATTTCTAAATGGTGAAGTTGCTAGAACCTTTTTAGCGGTCTTTCAGTTTTGGTTTTTCTTCCTTCTCAGATTCAGTCTTGAAAATTATGTCTGCTACAAAACGTGTAGTTCAGACATTGGTCTTTCTATCAAAAACAAATTTAGTTGGTTTAGAATTCGGCAGTATGGTCTAACAGGGTTTGATATTTTTGCCAAGGCGTCCACAGTGCATGTTCTTTAGCTAAAACAGCAATTTATCTTTCTAACTTTTCATGTAATTATCTATGAAACATTATATTTTACTATGAGCTTTGTCTTTTATCAAAAGCAAAAGCAAGACTTAAAAGAAACAATCCATTTTACTTAAAATGCTAAAAAAGTTCACATGTACGAATGGAAATTAAATACAGCATAATCTTATTTCTGACAATCGTCATTACAGTGCTTTTTGCTTTCGACAAAAACTCACTGATTTTAAATGATATAGATATGGATATAATAGTACATATAGATAACATTACATATCAGCACGTATAAAATGCTTTAAATCACAAATCTTGGCAAGAGAGAAACAACATAAGTTTCATCGTTGAAGGATCGTAAAATCTTTGAGTCATACTTTTTAATACTTATTGCAGGGCTTGAGAGTAGAGAACTGCGTGACCATGATTTTTAGTCACGGTCACGGTCACGGTCACGAGCTCACAGTCACGGTCACGGTCACGGTCACGGAAATTTTTCAAAATCGGTCACGGTCATGGTCACGGTCACGAGCTCACAGTCACGGTCACGGTCACGGTCGCGGAAATTTTTCAAAATCGGTCACAGTCACGGTCACGGTCACGCAGATTTTTTAAATTAGTCACACCCGCAGTTACAATTTGAGCTCGAAACATTGCTAGCCCCTGCCCATGTAAAGAACGGAGAATAATCAGATTAAAATCGATTAAAAAATGATTCATAGTCGGTTAGCATAATATAGCTTTAATTGATATTTAATTGATTATGAATCTATTATAGTCAAAAATAATCAAAAAGATCAAATTTTCATCGATTAATCGTATAATTTTCCATTATAACCAATTAAAAGTTCAAATAATTGATTTTAGTCAATGAAAATCTATGAAAATCGGTTTTAGATTTTGGAATTTACCATAGCGAAATTTTTAATCATTCGTCAATCAATTTTAATCTGATTATTCCCCTACTTTTCACATGTGTAGTATGCGATACATGCTTTTTACGACAACTATTGTTGATTATAATAACTAGAACTTCTCTAGAATAGTATTGGTTTATGAACGTCCAATAAATCTTGTGAGTAGAGAACTGCGTGACCGTGATTTTTAGTCACGGTCACGGTCACGTCGTGACCGTGACCGTGACCGTGACCATTTTGCAGATGACTACACAGCACACTGTAATGAATGTTATGACATATAAATTTGTAACGAAATGTTTACTATAGAATTATTCAAAACAGCTGATTGCACTCTCAAGAAAAGAACGAAAGCATCATGCTGTAAAAAAATAGAACTTTTATATAAGCAGGAGATTGACAATAATACAAGAACGTGTACCTAAAACATCATATCTCCAACGAATTATAAGGGTGGGTGTGGGTGTGGGTGTGGGTGTGGGCGGGTGTGGGTATGGGTATGGTTGTGCGCGTGGATGTGGGTGTAATTGAAGACAATACCGATACCCACACCCACACCCATATACATCAACCAGAACACTACACTTTTTTTTCTATCGAATATATACAACAGAAATTGTTTTCTTCCGTGAAAGTTATTATAGAAAGAAAAATAATTTATCAAAAATTTGAACTTTCTCCCTTGGAAAAATTTCTTACAAAATAATTATAATTAGTTGAGTTATAGTAACTTTTTTTTTCTATATTCATCATTGGGGTGTGGGAGTGTGCGTGTGAAGTGGATGTGGGGAACGAGAATACCCACATCTACACCTCACAAGCACACCCACACACACCCACACCTTCAAGATCAAGTACTCTTATAACTCAAACATGTCTAGTGACGTTGTGTCATCTATCAGGACACATATCAAACTCAATGTTGAAGTAGTTTCTATACATTTTCTTCTATATTTAGTTTGTTGTTTCATCGATCTTTTCTTTCGATTAGTACCTTATCGTCCATAACAGTAGTCTTGTGATATTAAGCATTTTGGTATGTGTTCTCAATCGTATTTTGTTTTTTGTTCTTGGTTTTATTGTATTCAATAATTCGAATGAGTATCTCCGTTAAACAAACAAATGTGGTAGGAAATCGCTAATCAATGTTTCAATAATATTAAATAGTTTATTCCTTCGTTTACCGTAAAGTAGAATTTCCTTCTCAAGATTTTTTTTTGTCTCAACGCAGTGTATGTTTACGATGATTTGTAGTTTACACAACTATATATAGACACATTCTCATCTTTCACAAGATCATTAAAAAATCTCTCCTGAAACTTTAAGAGATATGCTTGTAAAAATTCAGCTTATAGGAGAGTCAAAGAGTTTTCCACTTTAGTGTAACTTTTCTTCAATTTTTTTAAACAGTGTAATAATAATTAATAGTCAATCAATTAAATTATATTTTTCATTTGATTTTATTTAATAGAATATTTTCAAAAATGTTAATCATCCGTTTTTAGTTTACAATTTATTGAATTATTCAGAACATAATCATCATTATTCGAGATGAAAGAAAATATTAACAATATTTTGATAAATCCACTGATTGATAACGATAAAGAGTTTTCACTTTAGAATAATTGTTTCTTGTTGCATCTTTCGTAAAATTTTGTGTCACACGTTGTAATACGTCACCATCAATTGACAAGTGAATATCATTTAAGAAACATGTTTTTGTATCCAATAAAAATTGTTCAGCATAATCATCATGAATTTCGAAAAGATTCAAGTAAGTAAGATGAGGATATTCAATGATTGGAAAATCTTGATTTTCATCATTCGAGTTTGAATATTGTTTGTATTTTTGTGGTTCTAAATTAGTTATTGTCAAATCTTTGAGGAAAGGAAATGCCTGAACAAGTCTCATAAAAAATTCATGTTCAAAAGGACGTTCGTCAAATAATGTTACTATTTGAACATAGTTAAATAATCCACGTGGAAAATTATTAGTAATATTATCATAATGTTTTAATGTATATGGATATGTATAAATATGAGATTGACCACTTCTATCATTTGGAAAATAATCAACACTAGAAATAACTTCATAGTCTTTAAAATCTTTGAATGTATTTTGAATGTCTTCGTTTGATAGAAAATTCATTTCATCGTTAAACGAAAGCTTTGAATGAATATTAAATATAAATTGACGCAAAAGTGGTAAATGATTAATAATATTCTTTTTGAGATTATTTCCATCAATGAATGTTCTATCACAAATGATGACCAAATATAAAAATAACTTTTCTAAATTTATCATGCGATGTAGATGTGGTACAATTGCTTCATCATAAATATCTGAATCATTAAAACA